AGTATTGTTTTAGTAATTAAATAATGTGTACATGGAAAATGAATATAAGTCAAGAAACACCAACGAAATATACGAAGATTCTAGAAAACATGATTTCTAGAATTTGTATTTAATTCTTTTGGTCAATTACTRGTCCTTGTGACTTCTAGAACTTTATATCTTTAATCCAAAGTCAATTTTRTATCGTGACTAAAATGGTCAATTTTATATCATTATATCTCTATGTTACATCTATGGAATCGAAATGAACATCGGGATTAAAATGGTGACTCGCAACAGTGACAATTATATGTATATATATATATATATATATATATATTATTGTATGCTCTTATCATTTATTGTCATAACACTCGAACACCAAATATTTCAACTAGAATGGGACTTGAAACAACGATGGTTCTTCCTTTTATTTTTATTGTAGAGTCTGTYTTTAAGGGCCATTTATCAAAGATTTATCTGATAAGTGTTTACTCATAAAATTCAACACTATTACTTTTTTACTGTGTAAGATTTTACTCTACGAAAACAACACCGTATGCAATAGGGGTGAGCAGCGAAACCGGGTACCCGGTTGCGGGACCGGAACCGYYGGTTCCGGAACTGGAACCGATATGAGTGGTTCCGGTTCCTAAAATATGGAACCGATTGAGAATAGTTCTGGTTCTYAATTTTTAGGAAACCGTTACCCGCCGGGACCGGTTCCGAGACCGGGYATCYTGAACCGGAACCGACAGGTACCCGGTATTTTTCAATAAAATAATAATTATTATTTTTTAATACMAAATTTATATTAGGTTCACATCTTGAAAGYACGCCGTCATCTTCATTCTTCATCTAAATTCTTCATATAAAAGTATTCATATTTTTTCAAGTTGTGTGTTCAATTGGATTCATAGTATGTAATCGTTAAACTTTGAACATTTACCATTATAGTATTTAATCGTTAAACTTTGAACATTTACCATTATAGTATGTAATCGTTAAACTTTGAACATTTTCTATTAGTCTATTATGGTTTGTAATCGTTAAACAATATTTGTAACCATTATTCTGTATAATTTGTATTTTTGTTTATTTATTTAGTGTTTTGACAATGTTTTATGTTTTATTTCTAAATAACAAAATTTTAATATTTTAGAAAGCAGGTACCCGGAACTGGAACCGGTTCCCGGCGGTTCCAGTTCCGGTTCCAAAAATTCAAGAACCGTTCTAACCGGTTCCGGTTCCAATATCTCAAGAACCGCCGGTTCCGGTTCCTGTCAAAAAGGGCGGGTACCCGTCTGTGCTCACCCCCAGTATGCAATAATCTACCCGATAAGTTCTTACCATGGTAAGAGTCGTCGTTTTYATTTACCAGATAAGACTTTTGTTCCTTCTCTCGCTCTTACCGGGTAAGATTTTTGGTCCTTGTCATATTCATCCGGTAAGGTAATTTGTGACTTGGTAAGCGCTTATCCRAGTAAGCGTTTGGTAAACTGCCCMTTAGTAGTTAAGCTCGATTGTTTGCTTGTGAATTTATATGATTGAAGTGCTTGTGACATGATGATGTTGTCTTCTTTAGATTGGGGTCGAACCGGAGAACCTGAACGCTCCAGATCTCTTAGCCATGACAGGTGATGAAAAGAAGGTCCATCGTATGTGTGTGTATTTCGTGTTGGAGAATAAAGGACTAGCGAAAATCCTTTTTTGAACTATATAATTTATATACGGCAAATTAATTAACTCATAGACAATTGTTATCTTTAACGAGATTTAAACTATTGACCTCTAAAGTTACTTAGTTATAAAGTATTGCTAGGCCAATATATTTATACTATATTATAAAGCATTTGATTAAAAAAAAACTCTTAAAAATCATTTTTTATTCACGAAGTACTGTTTATGGATGTATATTATTTAAAATTCAAGATTACAAGTAAATTATGCAGAAGTACAACTTACTAAAGCTCCATATTTAAACTCGTGTAACTAACTGCAGATAAATCTATACTATATTATAAAACATTTGATAAGAACTCTTAAAAATTATTTTTTATGCACGAAATATTATTAATTAATGCATTGCACGAGTACTCTTCTAGTATAATCAAATGCTGGATAAACATCTCATTTTAAATATAAAAAATCTAAAATATAATTAGGATAATTATTGAGTTCTAAAAGAATATTTAGTTATTATCTTTATAAAAATTATATTATTAAACCTAATTTAAATTACTTTATTACTAAACTTAAATTAAATTATAATAAAAAAATTAAATTAAAGAAATTAAACCAAAAACAAAAAGTTAATTTGATACTTATATCGATATATATACATTTTTCAAAATTTTATGATATTTTCAAATTTACATTTTATTCAAAAATAAAAACATTATTTTTTTTAGAACCACATAAAACTGTAATATATTGACATAAAAAAAAGAATAAAACAAAACACTGAAATCAATATATGTCTTGATACATTACACGAATACCGTTTTAACATTAATAAAGTATTTGTGTGCTTAAAATAGGTTTCAAGATGTAACATYTTCATTAAAACATTGTCGTTTTCAAAACAAATTTCATGGTATGGGCATGTCAATCTGATGGAGACATCAGCCCGTTAAATAATATGCAACAATTAACGATGATTGTTTTAAAGAAAAATACGTTATTGGTATTAGTTTAATRTCTTGTTTATTAGCAGTTTAACAAGACTTGCAACTTATACGGTCAACTATATATATACATGATTRTTTGGTAATGGCTTAATGACAGAAAGTGACTTATTCAGTAAGATTCTAAGAGAGCTTTATACARAAAGTCAAAAAATTTCCAATCATATTTTTCCCAATTAAGGATCACGCTCGTTCCATGAATGAAAAAATCATCCCAAATAAAAATCTTCTCAATCCATACAACTTAATCCACACAGATAGTTTTATGTTTATCCATACTAGACTTAATGGAAAACCAACCAAACAGCCTTTAAAACGGATTCACATGTCATTACAACATAATGAGTTTATAGGACGTCTAAAGAGCTTAAGTTTCATAATAGGAGCAAACAATWAATCGTYATATYTAAAAGTGTTACAATAAGTTTTTGGCGTCGTAACAAGTTTTCACGTTCTTTTTAAAATAAAGTGTCGTATTAACTATTTTATGGGACAATTTTGAGAATTGTTATATAAACTCATCTTTTTATAGGATATTTGTGTTTATATAACACWTTTCAAATAGTGTTTTATAAAATAACTAATACGAYACTTTATTTTAAAAAGGTATTAAAAAACTTATTACGACAYCCAAAAKCGTCTTATAAATTTATTGTAACACTTTTAAATCAGRACGTTCTATTTTTTGATTCTATAAATCTATGTCCTATAAAACACTCTAGTACAACAATTAAACATTTTGGTGTCCTATAAACCTAATTTTGTTATAATGTGTTCATAAAATTTATTGTATTTCATATATAAATGATGTAATAAATAAGGAAGGGCTCAAACGAGAACACATTCGTTTTAGARGAACGCAAGAACACCATTTTACTATAGACAATCAYATGTGATACTAAGAGAAGCGAGCGATTTTTKATGCGATCTTGGTTGCGAGCCAAGTTGCYCGTACACCACTAAGCCCCCTTACATGTATTATCACATGTGATAAGAGTGTTGTRRATATGATACTATAATCCATCAAGTCCATCACATGTGATGCTAAATTATAGACGCAGACAACCTTTGGCGSGAGCTAAGTCGTAGAACACGTCGTCYGCACATCACAGGGTCACCTCACGCGTATYATCATATGTGATAAAAGTRTTCTYGTAAAATGGWGGTCTTMTCGTTTAAACCTCCACCTAATGATTATATAAAAGTTGAATATATAATTTATAATTTTTTTTTGTTCCAATAAATATAATTCAACACAATTTAGTTGTCTAAAGTAACCAAATAGTMTTTAGCCTAGCGGTATGTGAGTCTTTGGTCTTGTATGARGYAAARGGTTCAAATCTCATCAAAGGTGAGGAGGGTGTATGAGTTTWTTTGTTCTATTTGTTGTATATAAATTATATATTYTAAAAAAGTACAAGGGTAAATAGAGTAATCAACAGAAGTACAAGGGAACATACTGAAATTATGGCAGTTATCTTAAAACGGATAAGAATCAAGCCGCCGAGTACACAGCTTCCCCCAAATCCATCAGAGAGAAAGAGAAATCCGCGAAAACCCTAATTTCAGTCTCCACAGCCACAAATTCCAAAACCCGCTGTTTTTTGTKATTCGTTCGTTATCTGATGCTACTGTCATGATGATGCATTCCTTCCTCTTATCCACAATTCACGTATTGTCTGTCTGCAATCATCTTGCCAATATCGCAATTGTATAATATGAATACATAATTGAATGAGCTGAAGACACGTTGCACCTCATCGTAGCCGCCACGGTACTCTTATCTTGATCAATGATCATCCTATCATCTTTTTACGAAACCTTTTATACCCCCATAGTTTGATCCAGTTCTACCACCTCTGGGATCTTACCAGCTACTGTGGTGTATTCTGTTTGACGATTTTCAACTTCTTTTTCAATTTGAATTTTGAGTTTTTCTTTTTCTCATAGGAGTATTGAAAGCTGATTAGAAAGTCCGTTTTGATTTCAGTAAATTTCAGCAATTCTTCAGTGTTTTAGGTTTTTGCRATTTGAATGTTGTGGATTATGGTTGCATTTTTCTGACGATCTGGGAACTATTTCCTCCCTCGAGCTGAAATTATAGGAAATCCCGATTGGTATAGGTCAGTAATTCTGGATTCACTGATGTGCATTTGGTGTCAATTATATCAATTGTAACAAGTGTGATTTAGGACTGATTTGGAATTTGGGTTAATTGGGGTATTAGTAGAACACATATTAGGATAATATATTGTAGTTACAGAATGGATATAAGTAATGAGGCCAATGTTGATGCGTTCACAATCGGACCCTCAACGATCCTTGGCCGGACCATTGCCTTCAAAGTTCTATTCTGCAAATCAATGTCACGCTTGAGGCATCAGATTGCTCATCTTTTGCTTTATTACTTTCATAGCATTAGGACATATGTTTCAAACTCAATTTCGCCTGTGGTTTCGTGGTTACATCCACGCAACCCTCAAGGGATACTAGTATTGGTGACATTAATGGCATTTTTGCTTAAACGGTGCACTAATGTGAAAATGAGGGCTGAGATGGCGTATAGGAGGRAATTCTGGAAGAATATGATGAGAGCTGCAGTAACATATGAGGAATGGGCCCATGCTGCTAAGATGTTGGATAAAGAAACTCCTAAGACGAACGAGTGCAATCTTTATGATGAAGAACTTGTGAGGAACAAGCTTCAAGAACTCAGGCACCGTCGTCAAGWGGGTTGTTTAAGAGATATTATATTTTGTATGCGAGCTGATCTTGTTAGAAATCTTGGTAACATGTGCAACCCTGAGCTTCATAAGGGTAGACATCAGGTGCCAAAGCTCATAAAAGAATACATCGATGAGGTCTCGACCCAGTTGAGAATGGTTTGTGATTCTGATTATGAGGAACTTCTCTTGGAGGAGAAGCTTGCCTTTATGCATGAAACCCGCCATGCTTTTGGAAGGACAGCTTTGCTTCTAAGTGGAGGTGCTTCTCTTGGCGCTTTCCATGTTGGTGTGGTGAAAACATTAGTAGAACATAAGCTTCTTCCCCGAATAATTGCTGGTTCTAGTGTTGGATCCGTAATGTGTGCTGTTGTCGCCACTAGATCCTGGCCAGAGCTTCAGAGTTTCTTTGAGGATTCATTGCATTCTTTGCAGTTCTTTGATCAAATGGGTGGAGTTTTCAATATTTTCAAGAGGGTTACAACGCTAGGAGCAGTKCATGACATCAGACGATTGCAGGTGATATTAAGGAACTTGACAAATAATCTTACATTCCAAGAAGCTTATGACATGACTGGTCGAGTTCTTGGGATAACGGTATGCTCTCCAAGGAAGCATGAACCTCCAAGATGTCTCAATTACTTAACTTCACCYCATGTAGTTATATGGAGTGCAGTTACTGCCTCTTGTGCTTTCCCAGGACTTTTTGAAGCTCAGGAGCTTATGGCAAAGGATAGAAGTGGAGAAATTGTACCTTATCACCCACCGTTCCATTGGGACCCTGAAGAGGCTAATGTCACTTCTACACGCCGCTGGAGGGATGGTAGCTTGGAGATAGATCTGCCCATGATCCAACTGAAAGAGCTTTTCAATGTAAATCATTTTATTGTGAGTCAAGCAAATCCTCATATTTCCCCCCTACTCAGGCTGAAAGAATTTGTGAGAGCCTTTGGAGGCAACTTTGCTGCAAAGGTATGCTTCATTAAGTTCACTCATTTTCTAATAATATAGTAATTGATAGCTAGGTTAGTGACATACACAAGCAGCATATGATTCAATCAACTCTAAACAAATATATAAATAGATGAACATAGAGAAAGTTTGACATGGCAAATGAATGATCATATCGATCTGAGTGGTATTTAACCAATGTATAGCATTAATTCTTTCTGAAGTATATCACATGTTTAGAATAGTCTTACGTATGACATGGCATTACATGCATAGATTGTAATGTAGTTATATTGAACTTGATCTTTGTTTTTGTTTGCCAAATGTTGATAACTTAGTGATGGATGTCAGTAAAAACCAAACTGTTCATGATGTTACCAATTATTACTTGATAAAGACCTTTACAGTGAAAAAGAAACGATATTGYGTATCTAGAAGTTTTAAGCGGTTACAATAAAGTCAGGGTGAGTTTGGTGGGCATATGCGACTGGACATGACTGGACAAGTGAGAGTGAAGTAAGGAGGTGAAAGAATTGTAAAAGGTTTTAGGATTGTAATTTGACATGGGTACTTTAGTAATTTACCAATCTTCTCTYATCTCCCTCTTTTTGTTCCACCTATCTTTGCATTTTTGTTCTATTTTGTCCTGGCTTGTCTTGTCTCGCGTACCAACGACACCCTCAAGATCTATTATTGGTTCAAGGAAGGCTCCAGATGTTGGTCATCAGCCAAGCTAGATTGGATTTATGGAGTTATGCCTATGTCATTAATTTGTCATCTGTGTTTGTTTCAGCTTTTAGTAGATATCTACACTTTTGACATTTTAGCGATCGACCTTTGCAGCTTGCTCATCTAGTCGAGATGGAGGTGAAATACAGATGCAACCAGGTCTTGGAACTTGGTTTCCCATTAGGAGGACTTGCAAAGCTATTTGCTCAAGATTGGGAGGGGGATGTCACCATTGTTATGCCTGCTACCTTAGCTCAGGTGCGTGTTGTATGGTCTATTTGCTCATTAACCATTGTTACAAGATACCCGATGAAATTTGATTTTGGTCCACAAGTTTTCAAAAAAATTCTTGTGTCGTACAGTACTTGAAGATCATACAGAATCCATCTCACGTGGAGCTTCAAAAAGCTGCAAATCAAGGCAGGAAATGCACTTGGGAGAAGCTTTCAGCCATTAAAGCCAATTGCGGGATCGAGCTTGTTCTTGATGAGTGTGTTGCGATTCTTAACCACATGCGTAGACTGAAACGGAGCGCAGAAAGAGCAGCTTCGGCTACTGCCACTCATGGCTTAGCCAACATGTCTCGGTTTAATGCGTCCAAACGAATCCCCTCTTGGAACTGCATGGCTCGGGAGAACTCAACYGGGTCCCTAGAAGACCTTGCAGACGTTCCTTCCCCTCTCCACCATGGACTTGGTGCAYGGAACTGGCGGCTAAACCACCACACACACGACGGAAGTGACAGCGAGTCTGAGACCGCCGAGTTAAATTCTTGGACAAGATCTGGTGGRCCTTTGATGAGGACAACTTCGGCTGATAAATTTGTCGATTTCGTTCAAAACTTGGATTTCGATTACAAACCGAACAAGGCAACGCCAAACTCAAGGGTAATATCCCCAGACAGAAGCTCGGATTTAGAATCCGATCAAAGGGACATGAACAACAGAGGTCATACAAGCATCATGGTTGCTGAAGGTGATCTTTTGCAGCCAGAGATGATCCATAATGGCATTGTGTTCAATGTTGTGAAGAAGGGAGACTTGACCCCATCAAACCGGAGCCATGATTCAGAAAATAACAACTCACGTTCGGACTTGGTTGCCGAGTGTGTGCAACTCGATTGCCCGGAGAAGGAGACGGATGCTAGCTCGGCTTCTGATGATGGTGAGACCAATATCTGCAACGATGACCATTGTGACCCGAGGGATCATACGAGACCTATAGACGATGTCGATGGTGATTATAGATGTACGGAGGATCATTAACCCTTGTAATATTATCATTGGTTATGCTATTCAGGTTTCCAATACGGAGGATCATTAACCCTTGTAATATTATCATTGGTTATGCTATTCAGGTTTTCAATAGTTCTTCGGTTCGAGTCTTCTGACCGTTATTATTTGGGTCCTATGAGATTGTTCGTGGTACGCATAAGCTGACCCAGATAAGATATTTAGCTGATGGGCTCATGATACATATTCTAAATATCTCACCGTATAACTAAAAAATATTGACTAGAGATCATTTAGGTCTGGTTCAAATCACTGGTAATTTCTTCAAGAATATTGATTTTTTACCGTTTACAGTTAAGATATTAAAGTTTAAAATCATGGAAAAATTATTTTAATTCTTATTGATTTAAAGTCCTCATTTTAAAGCTTGGCTCCAAATGTCAAAAATATCAGGAGGTTTCAGGTTCAAATCTAAGGAGGAATAAAAATTCTCTTGTGGCTACGGAGGTTCAAATGCGGTGACTCCGGGCTATCTGCAAAGCAGGTAGTCGCTCTGGGATTAATCGGCTCGCATAACGAGTTGGATATCCAGGTTGATAAATAAAAGTCCAGATTCTGATAACCGTTTTGCAAATAAGCGTCTCATAAATACATTTAAAATACAAGAAAACCCRCAAAACATTTAACATTTCAAGATGATTGATAATATTTAAATTTGGATTATAATTATTAGTAAAAATATTGTGAAGTTTTATCATTTAGATCAAAAGAAATATTCATTTAAGTACTTAAGTATACAAAAAGTTTGCAGTTCTGCTTTTAAACAACAATTTATTCATACTATATCATAAAGTATTTAATAAAAACTTTTAAAAACCATTTTAAATATGTGAAGTACTATTTATTGATCCATATTACTAAAAATTCAAGATTACAAATAAATTGTGTATAAATACAACTTATTAAAGCTTTGTGTTTGAATTCACGTGACTAACTGCAGATAAATATAATTAAATAAAAGATAAACATCTTATTTTAAATATAAAAAATCTAAAATATAATTAAGATAATAATTAAATTCTAACAAAATACTTAATTAAAAATTATATTATTAAACCAAAAATAAATGATAAGATAAAGAAATACACTAAAAAAATGAGAGATCTTAAATAGTTAGTTTAGTAGTAATATCAATATATTTTTTCAACTTTTTATGATATATTCATATTTATATTTCATTCAAAAATAAAAACATTATCGTTTTTTCAAAACCACATAAAACCGTATTATAACATCGACTGAGACAAATAAAAAACATTAAAACCGAGATATATCTCGTTATATTATGCAAATACTCTTTTAGTTGTTATAAAAGTATACACAAACAATTTTTTATTTTCAAACTAAAAAGGGTTTCAATTTGAATTTAAGTATTTACTTGATTTACAGTCAATTACATTGCATTTACAGTACCAATAAACCATACTTGCAAGATTTAGCTTATTTATTTTTTATTGAAAAGACATTAAGAAGTTGTTTACCAAATACTTATCCTGGTAAGCATTTGTCAAAATCACATTATCTTACCGGATGAATATGGTAAGGAGCAAGATTCTTATCCAGTAAGAGCGAGACAAAAACCAAGAATGTTACTCAGTAAATGAGGGTCTTACCATGGTGAGTGTTTACCAGGCAAATTATTGCATATGATACCGTTTTGATAGAGTAAAATCTTACCCGATAAATAAATAATAGTGTCAAATTTTACCTATAAACGCTTACCGGGTAAGTGTTTGGTAAAAGACCCCTAACTTTCCTACCTAATAATTAAAAAATATTATCTTCTTGCCATATTGTTTTCCAAAATTTAAAAAACAAAAGCAAAATACCAAATTCAAGAACCAAAAAACCCAGAAAAACAAACAAAAGTTTTTACACATTCATGGTCAKAACTTGATTTTGGGAACTTGTAACAAAAAGATTGGAAATCTGTACACAATTTACATTATGCATTCATGTTTTTAGACTTTTGAGCATAAATGCATAATGAATATGAAGGCAGTTAGAGGGACTCAGCAAATTGAGGAGCCTCCAAGTCCAGGTCTTGTTTCATGACACAGTTCATGAACCATTCATTACTGAATGTTGGTATGCCTTTCTTTACAGCTGACAATGCTTCATCCATACTCTCTTCACTTGCCACAAATATGGTTTTTGATGAATCCTTCACTTTCTCTAGATTGCGAATAACCTGAATTTATAGAAAAGGTCAAACACAACTTRAAAGAGAGTTTTAACAACTTGGGTTGTGGTGAATTAGTTAAGGCAACCCCGGGTTCGAATATAGGCGCTACCAAAGCCCTTGTGGCCATGGAGGTTCACATGTGATGACTCCAGGCCATTCGTGATCCCCAGGGATTAGTCGGTGGGCGTAAGCTAGCTTGGATACCCAAAAAAAAAGAACTTAAGACGGTTTTGTAGAAGAACCACTGAAACTGCTATGGTATTGAATGCCTATAGATTTCTTTGAAATAAAATTAAGCTGAAAATGCATAATCTAGCCAGTGTTGCCTAAGCCTATAGCTGGGAGTGACTACAACTTGACACAGTTGAAAGTGAAGGTTGATGGATTCTAGTAGTTCAATAAGCATGTCTCAAGATACCCATGAACATGGGTACATCTTTTGGTGAGTGTTTGACCTTTTGACCAACTAGTCCACGTGTCCATGAAGAAAACAGATATTTAGGAGAATAACAACCTTCTGACATTTTTTTTAAATGCATGACCTTTTGACAGAGTTTGAGACATTCTTATGTATGGAAGAGACGTTCTTCTGTTAGACAGATGCATTCTTAAWTCTATCATGTGGTCGTGCATTTAAAAAAATCTGTCAAAAAGTTAGCTTCCTAAATAACCCATGAAAAACACCCCCCCCCCTCCGCATGTCTCGAGCAAGATTTAGGCCTTCTGATTAATGAGTGTTCCCCTCAAAAAAGTTGATACCACCTAACCTTATGGTTCATAAAGTACAGAGTGGCATGGTGTCTCATGAATGTTTCTAGAAGCAATAGTGCTTAACCCCATGAATATGTACAAAAAACTAAAGATCTTGAACATAAATTCAACAAAGTCAGGTTTCATGACTTAGGCTGCTTTTTTTACATCCCATGTCAGCTGCAATGTTGCATTTTTTAGCAATTTTTCAAGCATAAATGACCTATTTGCCCATTATTATCGATCCAAATTAATGGTCTTGTTTTGGGTATACAAGATTTTGCTACTAAAGAACTGTAACAAATAATCAAGCACCTCTATTAATTATGTCAAGTAAAGCATTGCAATTTTTACTATTAGAGCATTAAATTTTCTCATTTCTCATTTGCTGAAGAAACCATTTATGAGAAGAGAACTAGATGACTTACATTTCCACCTGCAGACCTCACAATTGCAGACAGRGTACTGATAGGAGGCTGCACATGAGCAGCAAGGCATACTTCAAAACCTTTAAGCAAAGCACCAGGACTTGCTCTTGCTCTAAGTACTGTACCTTTTAACTCAGTCCTGTACTTCAACTCATACTCGAGATCTTTCACAATGAAAGGCGTTTCATCTGTAAAAGATGTTGGTAACTAATAAACATTTAAGAAAGCATCAAATGATACARGTAATAAAAGCCTCATTACTCACCCACGAATCTGCCTTCTCTGAAGCTTTCTTTCAGCCAACCAGGTGATATAACCCAGGCTCTGTACACAGATTAGACTTCCAAATTAAATGGCATGTAAGGTAGACAATAAGAAAGTATATTTCAACATGAAGATGGGGGCGATGAACTATGATAGTGAAGACAGTTSAGGCACCCACGAGAAGACCACATGAATAAATTGAGGATGGACASAATTGTCTCAAACAAGTAGAATGGTTATAACGTAAGTGCTTCTTGCTCCTCTATGCATCTTTCATATCAAAACTCTAGTAGTTGCACTATATTATATGTATAAGCAACTCTACTTTCTATGATGAAATAACTGTAGAGCACACTAACTCCGTCATCCAACAAATTGTTAAGTTAGTCTTGAAAAAATATTTTAGTGTTTATTTTTTTAGGGAAAACCAATTACAAAGAAACACATACCATGTAAAATGTTCCAGTCTTGAACCCACTACCGCTTGATTCAAGAAACAGAAAGAACGTGAAAACCTTTTTGCTTTCTTACTTACCRTTTGTAAGACCGACGGTAACATGATGTCATCCTAATCCTTTCACAGTCATATAAATCGAAATCCCAACGAATACTTCAAAAGACCACATTCGTTTCACTTGTTCTCTACTTTGAAATGTACCATTTGTATTCTTTAGGAAGTAGAATTACATTAAGATTAGGCTCTAAGCCTCTAAGTCTCTAACTAGTTGTATCAGACAAAATTACTTTACTATGATGGTTTGTTTTGGCTCCAAAACTTCTTACCTATATATATATATATAGGTTGGGTTCCGGTGAGAATGGAAGTTATGATGAGAAGGATAAGAAAAGATCTTCAACCTTGGATGAATCATAATTGAGGATCAACACTAATGCGGTGCGGCAAGATGCATTGAATCAATTCCCGTGATAAGTGCAATTCATGGGTGGGTGCGAGATCAAAAGTGCTCAAGGATCCAGATCACTTCTTAGTTCTTACGCTTCTCACTTTAACTCTTATTCTCACACGATACTTCATATATATATATATATATATACACACACACACACATACTATGATCTCCTATCCTATAAAGTGAAGGCTTTTGGACCATATCAGAGGGATACCTCCACCTCTCACAATTGACAAAATGGTGGTCACGTGGCCTTAGCTTCAGACTTCTTTTATATTACATTGCCACCATTGGTTGAATTTGTTGGGTTCCAATACCTCCAGACCTTTGTCAGACCATTGTATTTTTAGATGTCTACCTAGATTTGCTTGTGAGTCTATTATTGAACTTGGTGGAGAGTGTTTACATGAAATTACCATATTGACTGAGAAGTATTAATGTTGTTAGGCTTAGAATTACTGTCCTTTGCCATTAGGTTGCTTTGGCTGATTGGCTCCCACTACTTTGTGCCTAAATGTATTGGATTTCTATGCAACAGCTTGAAGCCTTGGGCGTTATATACTTATACACCTAATCTCTTCCAATTCAAAATCAACAAGGGTTTCTGTACATGTAGACCTTGTTTGTCTGAATCTTGTGGGAAAGGTTTCTATACTCAAGCTTGCCAAAAAGTCATCCATATCAATCTCTTAATACTATCATCTGCCAATACCTTTTTATAGCTCAAAACTAAAAYATTCCAATAAAGTAGATCCAAATAGCTAATGAGAGCACACATATAGTGGATCAAGATACCATGTACGTGTTTCTTGATAACTTGTGATGGTAAAATATGGTTTATGAAAGAGTAATATTCTATCTCAAAATTAAGTGGAACTCACCCTGAACAGAGAGCTGTACAGAAATTCAGCGTCTTTCTCACTTTTCCAGTGATAACATGTGTGCTTCCTCTTCCGTCAGATGTAACAGAGCCACCAAGGTCCTCGATTATCTGCCATTGACATGAACATTAAAACAAGCAATGAAGAGCAAACTAAAGCATTAAACTAGAATACCTTTGTCAGATTTGACTTTTTAGCATCATCTGCAATGTTCATCAGCATGATTTTATAGCAGTTTCTTTCTGAAAGAAGTTCCACACAGCCATGATTATTTGTGGTTCTAGCACCTAGGCTGCATTCTAGAGCATGAATGTGGCTTAAAGGCCCACCAAGTGTAGGTGTGAAATCTGCCACTTCATCCTTCGCAATGGTCATAGGGCTTGCATCCATACAACATCCACTAGTTTTATTTCTTCTTGAAACACAGCCACTGTCTGATTGACAAACCTTCAGATGGCTTCCCTTCACTTTTTTCGATTTCAGTGAGGTATGGGACGTTTCCCAAGTCCTCTTCTTTGCACCCGATGAAGAACATGAACAATGCCAAGCATCACCATCGCTTCTAATTCTCATCTCATCTTCATTGTTTCCCATATTAATGCATTCCTCACTATCCAAACAAACAAGGTCTTGGCAACCTACTATAAGAATAAAACTGTGTAAAATGAYAAATGAAATGGAAATGATGTGTCATAGAAATGCATAATTGATATTCTGAAAGAAAAGAACTATAGCAAATTTAGAGTGCTTAAATATGAGTTTGTTTCAAATAAAAGAAAAYACTTCAGGAAAATTTGGTTCTTCAACTTAACTGTAATATCGATCTCTTGTTCTGCGTATTTGTTTACCACTAACTGAGAACCTTATGAGTTAAGGCTGATCATGTCTATATAGTACTATCACTTTATGTGCAATAATTGTAAGCAYATGCTTGTGGTTATAAAAAATTAGTGGCACATTTTGGCTCGATTTCATACTCACCATCCGTCAAGTAGTTATTTTTCAACACTTCTTCAGCTCCAGGACATTGACTCTGAACCATAGTGGCAGTTAATGGCTTATGAACAGGCTTAAATACAGAAGACAGCCGTAAAGACTCTGCAGAGATATCTGAACATTCCTTGTGAAGATGAGCAATCATGAGRGTTGAACCACCAGGAAAGCATAGCGCTTTCCTTATATCTGTCCTAATTGGTAACCTTCGAGCTCTACCCTTGGTGTCTACTTGACCAACCGGTACAAAGCTCTGCCATTTTCACAAAAGTATTAGAAGCATCTACAGACTACATAACAAAAGRCAGATTCATTACACAAACCGAGGCATCGGTTATCAACAGAAATACTAAATTACCTAMCAACAGAGATAATTTGTTAACCAGCTACCATTGAAAAAGTCTTCTTGTGTAAATATTCTAAAGTGATACTAAGGKGTCGTTTACCAAASGCTTACCCGGGTAAGCGCTTACTRGTAAAATTCAACAATATCATTTACTTACCTGGTAAGATTTTAGTGCAYCAAAACGGTATCATATGCAAMAATTTACCCGGTAAGCACTAACCATGGTAAGAGTCRTCGCCCTCACTTACCAGGTAAGACTCTTGGTCCTTGCSTTAGCTCTTACCGGGTATGATTMTTGGTCCTTGCYATATTTATCCAGTAAGGTAATCTCACTTGGTAAGTGCTTMCTCGAGTAAGCGTTTGGTAAACAACCCTCAGATTATCATTTGATTTGAACAGAAGTCAGAAAACTTCCCGAACTAGATGTTTGTGAAGAACTGTTAAAATCAACAACCAGCTACCATTAGTTTTGCTTGTTACCTGCTTGAGCCAAAATCCTTCAGATTCCTCATCAGCCCAGCAAAATATAGAATGTACACCAACACCCTGCAGTCTTTTCCTCATTTCCAAATATGTGCGGTGGCCAATGCCCTGTAAGTTTCTAAAGCATGTTAATACTGAGAAACTGCTGTCCTCTGTTGTTCCTGTTTTGCTAATTTTGCAAGACAATGGTTATTACAKCAACAGGAACATCCTGCAGTGCACCACTTTTGACATGGAGACTTACTTCTCTTCAAAATAAGTACATTGATCGAATAAAACAAGACACTCATTGATAAAGTTTCTCATATAAAATTTATCAAGTTTACATTTAATTCTGTATGAAAGGAAAAAAGAAAAAGAGCACCATATGGTTTYGCAAAGGCACTCAAGCATCTACTTTGGATAGAAATAGGTACGAATGAGTAGAAGACCTTATGTTGGTAAACTGAACAGACAGCAGCAAGTGGAACCTCAGCATATTGAGTATCAGCAGGGATTATCTGAAAACTTATTGCAGCCACAACCTGCAGAGGGGAACAAAAATAAGAGAAAAATAGTTGACTRCAAGCAACAAACATTGTATCAATCCTTTCAATCAGACCATTCAAATTAAATTTCTGAAAACCAGAAAAGGTTGCATCTGAAATACTAGTGATTATATATTTTTTTTGTAGTAAACTTTATGTTTGTCTTGTTACTATCAGGGTTTTTGTGTAATTATTTTCAGCTTACAAGACCATAGTAGTGTGCAGTTTTTGCTGTTTAATGGCGTTTCCAAGTGCAGAAGAATTATAGAMATCGATGAAACCAGCAGTCCATGATAAGAAGGGGAGTATCATCTTTTGGGCAAAGAGTACCCATCTTTATGTTTGTGAGTTTCATCTCAACGGCTTGGATTTGATTGCCCCAATTTGACATCAAACATGATTGTATAATTGTGTTATCCTATTGTCATCTACACTTGTGGTTTTGTATTTTCACTTTCTTTTTTCAATAAGCTTATTGCCTTCATTAAACGTTGTTAGTCTTTTTAAAATCCTCTTATATCAAAGTTGCAATATGTTTACCATTGCATACTCTATTTAACAATRAAAAGTGACTCAAATGTTTTCACATTCATAATTTGAATTTACTTCCATGCTAGTCATCTATGAAGAAAGTGTAAAGACTAAAAAGCACCTTAATGTCGTTACAATATATCTCTAAAAATCGGCACCAAAATATGTAATGCTTTAAAATCAACAAGGTTTTGGAATGGAGAAGTGCAGTAYGCCTCGTAACTGGAAGAGATGACATGTGCAATCAACCAGGTTTTTCAAGATAAATAACTGTGTGTACACACAAACATCACAAAAGGAGCTAAAATATTTTACCTTCGATTTTACAACACATTTTATGGTTAAATAATTATGTTAATAGATCTGTGCAGTGTATCATATTATTGTTTTGATTCATATCTTATATAGCTAAACAGTAGACTTATTTATCTTTTTCCCSCGAGCAAGTTAACAGCCTTTAATCCACAAACATGATGGGTTTGCAGATAAGACGTACAGAGAAAGTACCAGCAAAAGAACAAACCTACCTCTCCAGAACCTTCCTCAGAATTGGATTTCAAAACCAACGTGCAGTACTTCCTGCACAAATGACAAATGGTTGATGGACAGTAAAATAACTCTTGTTATCATCATTTGACATATGTGGTGCTATAAACCATGTAAAAGAATTATGGCAGTGGTGGCACTAGTATTATCAAGCTGTGAAATGGATAAAMCAAATTACCAAGTAACTTTAGAAAGAAATATCAAGGAAGCAAATAACTGTACCCATTGGATACACATCGTTCAAGAAACGTAGACTTCTTTCCAGTATTTGCAGCATAGTTCATTGAAGGTAGTTCTTTCTCGTATAAGTTTAATATTTCCTACAAAACATGATTGATCAATCATACATGACCACCTAGAGATGGATATACAAATGCCAATAAAATATACATCTCACACATCTAGGCCTTGTATTTGTAATTTACATTTGTTTTGAGTGCTGAGTTTAAAAAGTTAATGCTCTTTTGATCTTTGGGTTGGGCTTTCTTTGCTGCACCTTGACTCGGGAGTTCTTTAGGATTTTTGTTTTGACTTTTATGGTTGCTTGCCAGGTTTTTTAATCTATTAATCTTATTGAAATGGATGGGAAAGCAGAGAAATGAACCAGTACTGCTATCATGCACCTGGGTTGAACAAAAAAATTGGATACGGTAAAATACCAATTAATTGAATRACAACGATGATTAGCTTGTGTGTTAGGCTGTTAGCACCTACATAGGAGATCCTAACATTGTTGCTTGAATGACACCTATTGCATTTGATTGGCACCATTATCCTTATAAAATAAATGGAGCCAAACATGTATACCACARCAAAGATGTGTCACAGATCTCTGTGGTGTCAATGTGTCATATGGATTCTGGTGGTTACCTACCTACTATAGCAGCATGCCAGCATCCAATGCATATTCTCAGCATTCTTTACGTGATGCTCTTTGAGTACTATACAGGTTCCAAAGAGTTTGTAGATAAGATTTAGCATTGTTTCTTTTAAGTTACGACACACTAGTTTCAATGCTACATGAGSGCACAAATTGTGTTCTCACTTTGATTAGAAAGTTGTCACAGGCATTAGGTTCAGCCTCTACTCTAGCACTACTGCTACTTATCTACTTACTCCCTTTTASACGTGATGTAAATTACATAATCCCCAACTATTGGACAGGAATAGTTCTGTACACTTGCAACTTATGACAGAAGTAGTGGCAGAGGCTTTTGTAGATGAGAGGCCTCTATGGGATAGGCTACAGCATGGGGCACCTTATGAGCATCGTCAACATGCCAAAAAAAAAATGACATCCCATGGGTACCATTTTCRTTTATATCTACCTATATTTTCCTATCATCAAAGCATTTTTTTCTTATTTCGCTATTCAAATTATCATAAGACTTACAAATGACAACCAAATACATATGCTACAAAAGCATCTATACATATAAGAGAACGAGAGAGAACTGTTATACGTAGATGCATAATCATTTACAAACCAAATTTATTGAAAAAACTTACAAAACAGTTTTCATGTATTTTTTCACATAAGAAACAACACATGTGAAAATGCAGGGTATATATAGTATTGTTTCATATGTGAAACGTTTAAGACGTTCCACAAATGAAATAACACTAGTTAAAAAATGCATTTTCACCCATGTTGTTTTATACATGAAAACCGGTTTCTAAGTTTGTATAAGTTACTAGGTTTGTAAAAGAAGTCTCTCTCTCTCTCTCTGTATATGTATATATATATATATATATGTGTGTGTGTGTGTGAGTGTGTAGAGAGAGATAAAGATGAGGAGTTACTTGGAGGAGAGACTTCGATTGGGCATCAGAATCCTTGGGGTTAACAAGCACGAAGCAATAATTTCCTGATCATAAGTAGTAAGTTTTTAAATGAGTAATCTCACAATCACTCACTGATATTCGAGAAACTATTTACAATCCCAAAACCAATATATATATAGTTTGTTTCAAATACAACCCATCGCATTTGTACAACCAATGCAACCCAATAAATTGAGATATTTATGGAAATGATGAGAGTTCATTTATTATGATTTAAATATTTATGGAAGATGAATATGGTTCATTAATTATGATCAATACTTTATATTAGAAAACAATCAAAACTTCTAAGAAAACAATCAAAACTTCTATGAAATCACATATTAATCAAATGAAATGGACGGTTGAGATTGGGTTGTATTGGTTGCTCAAATGTCAAGGGTTGTATAATAACCAACCCCTCTCTCTCTCTCTATATATATATATATATTCGCAACAGGTTCTCTCCTTCCTGTAAAGTTACAACGTCTACATTTTGAGATGTCCTATTATTCGCAACAATTCCCTTATTTGGTTGTCAAGCTAAAATTACCTTTTATGCATTGTCTTGATTATTGATATAATTAATTATTGACATGATTAATCTACATCCACAAATTCCCCTTACTTTTTGTTATTGAAGTGCATTTTACATGTCTGATTGATAGTGAAGTGCTTATTGCAATTTTAGCATAATGATGCAGTAACAAACAAATCAGTTGATGAATATTACCATTTTCTCCAAAACTAGAACGTTGGAGATCGTTACGTTCTTTTCCAAGTGCATCCTCCACAACTGCTACAAACAATAGATTTAGTGAAGGGAAAAAAGAGAAGAAATGGAGCCATGGCAATCGCAGCAAAACAACAGACTTTTATTTAGAAATCCCAAAGCCACTTTAATGTAACGACATGGTTGCAACCTGCCATCTTATTTCATATCTAAACAATCAAACACCCGGATGTTGAGAATAACAAAAGAACACCACATTTGTTTCAAAATATCCAGGAAAAGATAACACATCTGATAAAAAAACTGTTGCCGATTTCACGCCAACTATAATATTCTGTTCTTTGCGTTTTCTAAAGCATGTAAATCAATTAGAAAAGAAGTGTCGGGAATCTAAAATGCTAACATTTAGGTGGTTTCGTTTCATTGATCAGATCAATACCGGATATTACGATTTTGGATTTGCCGGATACAGATATCTGAAGACTGTTTTGATTAGACTCAGCATTGAAGTTCTTTGCTTCAACAACCACCTGACAGTTCCCTGAGACAAAACAAATACATAAAAAAAATTACAGCTGATTCTAGGGTTCTTGTGGCAGATGAGATGTTCAATTTCTTTACCTATTGCGATCGGTGAAGCAGATGATGAGGGTTTCTTTCGTGCCATTGACGACGTTTTGGAGTTAGGTTGAAGATGAATGGGGTTTCGGGGCCGCTAAAACTAAAATATAAGCGGGAAAAAGAATTAGAGTGAATTACAGTTCTAGTCCATGCGGTTTTCATATCTTTTCGTTTTTCATCCCTATTTTTGCACCAATTACGGTTTTGGTCACTATGGTTTGCATTTTTGTATGGATTTGGTATATATATATATATGTGTGTGTGTGTGTGTGTATTTTTGCACCAATTACGGTTTTGGTCACTATGGTTTGCATTTTTGTATGGATTTGGTCCTTCCGTCAAATGTCTGTTAAAAAGGTTTGATAATTGAAGTAAAAAATACCCTCGTTTTAAAGTATAATTTATRTTATATCATCATATATGCATAAAAAGAGAGAAATACGGTGAAAGCCATGAATACTTTTTTTATTAACCTGGATATTCAATCTGTTATGCGAGCCGACTAATTTTAGGGTGACCACTTGCTTTACGGATAGCCCAGAGTCACCGCATTTGAAGCTCTGTGGTCACAAGGGGATTTTTATTTCTCATTGGATTTGAACCTGAGACATTTAGTTACTTTTGACCTTTGTAGCTCAAACTTAAACCAATGAGACACCACCCTTGTGGTCCATGAATTTAACCACTCTTGACTTTGACATTGACCAATCGCCTCACCCTTCTTCTCAAGATGGATTTTGGAGCTGATCTATCTGTTTGTACTAGTAAATATACATGACAAAGTACTGATGAGCTTATATTAAACTTGATATGTGCGTATGAGGTGCAACTCCTGTTATGGTGTAACAGGAAGTTGTAAATAATGGGTCGGCATAGATAACGTTGGATGGGATATTATGACGAATAGGGACAGTGGTATGGTGCATCGGGATGTGGTTGGACCAATAGGTTATGAAGCATATGTGAGTAGTTCTCGTTAATAAACCTCTYCTTTTGAACATAAACAGTTATTCAGTTTTCTTGGATTAATTAGACAGTTTGCATCTTGTCTTCTTRTGTAATGAGGGGGTAGAGATGGCAACGGGATCGAGGAGTGTCGAAGATTGCAATTCTCATCCTCATCTCCATCTCCATTTGGGAATAAGTTCTCATCCCATCGACTAAAATCGAGGATATATCTCCTCTTAGAATATTATAATTGAAATGTTATACACTCACGTTGTATCACCAAAAGTTTATCAATGAATAAA